TGGTGGGGCATGGGAGGGAGGAAGAGGGGGAAGGAGGGAGAGGGAACTGGGATCAATATGTAAAATAAGAAAAATAAATAAATAAATAAATAAATAAAACATAAAAAAAAAAGAAATGTCTTGCTACAAGAAAGATGGACTGAGCATCACAACTTTGCCAAAGAGGGAACTGCAAGACTATGTTCAAGGCTACTCAGTGCAAAGCACTGTGGGAGCTGTAATCTGTGTCTCCAAAACCACTGGACAGCTTTGCTTTTTCTGTATCTGTTTTCCAGTTCTACACAGCTCTGATTGTATACATTTTGAAACAATTTGCTTTTAAAGCTTAAAATTTGTTAACAATTAGATCAGAAATAAATCCATATCCTTACTATAAATTAAACCATAGAACCTGAAGTATGCAAGGTTGAGCCCCAAGATGGGCCGGCAAGTCATTCCTACCCAACCAGCAGGCAGAGTACCTGCAAAAGTGAGCCTTGTTTTTTTTTTTTTTTTTTTTTTTTTATAAGCATTCTTTTGGAATTATAGACTTTTATTATACACTTTTCTGTATTTTCTAAATTTCCTACAACAAGCAGGTACCACTTTTAAAAGCAAGTGTTGTGGTGATATTTTGTGTATGATCTAACAAATAAAGCTTGCCCGAAGATCAGATTGCCAAGCTAGCCACATTAGTTAGCCATAGAGGTCAGGCAGTGGTGGTATACACCTTCAATTCCAGCACTTGGGAGACAGAGGCAGACAGATCTCTGTTAATTCAAGGTCACCTTGAGCTATGTGAAATTGATCCAGTCTAAAAGAGAATCAGAGCTGGCACTAAGGTGATCTCAGCACTTGGGACCCCAGGACTTTAATCCCAGCACTAGAGAGGAAGATAAGGCAGAAGGAGACAGGAACTCAGTGCAGTTTGAGGTTTGGTGGAGACAGATGCAGTCTGGAGATGCAATCTGAGGACAGGATTGACTTTTCAATCTGAGGTAGAGGTAAGAGCTAGTGTTTGGCTGCTTTGCTTTTCTCAGATTAAGCTTTAACCCCAATATTTGTCTCTGTTTTTTTTTTAATTTTAAGACAAACTAGTATACATGTTACATACAGAGAATATGTAAAAAGTTTCATACCAAAACTTTCAATTATATATAAAAAGCCATTCACTGAAATGTTTAGCTTCATCTGCCCCAATCCAGATTCCTCCTTGGAGCCAACCAGTTAGTTTACAGTGGTTTATTTTGACCTTTGTTGTCTTATGTGGAAGCAACTATCCACATACAACCATTGAACACTTTAAACACCCTACTTGAGATATGGTGCAAACAAAAAAAATACTCAAGTTTTAAAATCTTAGTAAGGAGTTATTAAAAAGAATAGTAGCTCTGAGGGATTAGGAAAGAGGGATGGATGAATACACGGAGGATAGGGGAATCTTCGGTAGTCAAACCATTCTTTACTGTGGGGATTTAAATGAGAATGCCCCCCATAGACTCATATGCTTAGTTGAAAGGGCATGGGACTATTTGGGAGGGATTAGGAGGTGTGACCTTGTGGAGTAGGTGTGTCACTGAGAGTGGGCTTTGAGGTTTCAAAAGCTGACACCAGGTCCAGAGTCTCTCTTTGCCTGCTTTCTGGAGTCTAGGATATAAAGGTCTCAGCTACGTCTCCAGCACCCTCTGTGGTGGTTTGAATGCTTGGCCCATAGGTAGTAGCACTATTAGAAAGCGTGGCCTTGTTGAAGCAGGTATGGCCTTGTTGGAGGGAGTGTGTCACTGTGGGGGCAGACTTTGAGGTCTCACACACTCAAGCTATGCCAATTGAGGAACAGAGTCTCTTTCTGCTGCCTGTGGATCAAGATATAGAACTCTCAGCTCCTTCTCCAATACCATGACTGCCTGCATGCCACCATGTCCTGTCATGATGATAAGAACTAAACCTCTGAAACTGTAAGCTTGCCTAATTAAATGTTCTCCTTTGCAGGAGTTGCTGTCTCCACGGTGTCTTCTCATAGCGACAGAAACCAGAAGATAACCTCTGAAACTGTAAGCAAGTCCCCAGTTAATTGTTTTCTTCTACAAGTTCATTTAGTCATGGTGTCCCTTTAAAGCAATAGGACAGTAACAAAGACATATCTCATTGCACTTTTATTTTGGATCTCTGTGTGTCATGATATGTCTGTTTATGTGTGTATACGAATGCACAGTCATGTGTGCGGACATGTATGTGCTACAGTATATGTACAGTAGTCAGAGGACAACCTCAGGTGTCACACTTCATTTTCCACCTAATTTGACAGGGTTTCTTTTACCACTGATTCCCATGCCAGTCTACCCATGGCCTCTGCATCTTATCTCTTCATACAAGTGCTGGGATTACAAATGTGTGACACCATGTCTGGCCTTATGTGGGTTTTGGGCATCTGGATTCAGGCCCTCACACTTGTGCAGTAAGCTCTTTACCCAGTTTTTATGGTAAATATGTTACAAATTCATCTAAACACATAGAATATAAAACACCAAGGGTGAACTCTATTGTAGGCTACAGACTTTGGGTGGTGATGTGTCAATATATGTTTATCAGCTGTAATAAATGGGTTGTGGGGACTGTTGAAAATAATGAAGGTATTCATATAGAAAGGTGTTTTTTTTCTTCCTATTAATCTAAAATTCTAAAGTTGATCTAAAAAGATAACTTCCTAAAAATACTTTGGTTATATTGAGATAAGTAAAATATGTTATTAAATGAAATTCACCTGGTTCTCTTCATCTAGGAAAGTGGCTGGAATTATGTTTCTATTGAGCCAGCAATGACTTCTCCAGAGTCCGGATTATCTTTTGCGCTTTTGCATACTTATGTACAGAAGGATATACGTTTTTGGTATTTTAGAAAAAGAATCTGTCATTTGTATACTCAGCTAAAATTTATTAGTTACAGAAAATTAGATTTCATTATTTTTTTAAAGCAAAATTGGTTTTTGTTTTCCTTGCCCCCTTGCCCCAGCCCCCTCCTTCCTTTGTGCTCGCCCAGCCTCAGTAGCCTTCTCTGCACTTTCATCTCACACAAAACTTTTTTTCCTCCCAATTAAGTTTTCCTTCCTCTCTTGTGGTCTCCTGTCTAGTTCAAGTCTATACTAGTGCTTGCAGGCATTACATTTTAGGATTTCTGTATGAGAAACAAAACAAAACATGAGCTTTTTGCCTTTCTGAGATTGGGCCACCTCACGTAATATGATAGGATCTATATCCAGTCATTTTGCTGACAGTCTCATCATTCTGATTCCAAGGAAACTTCCTCTATCATTCAGATGAAAAAGTGACTGAAATATATAACCAGTTTATACAGATTGCACTTGTGCAAAAGGACCTGGAGTGTGTTCACAGGCAGCAAGCTATTGTGTTGAATGGGCATGGTGTTTATCACGTCCTAGCAAAACACTGGCATATAGAGCATGGGTTCCTACTTGGGTTCTGTAGATTCTGCTGGGGAGCAGGAGAAACAAAAGGAACATCAGGAATAAACACAGTGCCGTGAACACTCCTTGTTTTTTACTCAAGTGAGTGTTCCTTGGTGTTCTGCCCCATTCTTGTTCCTGTAGTCTCGCGTTGCCTGGACAAAGACATGCAGGCAGCTAATGACCTGTTTGTTCTTTGGCTACCCACTTCCTCTAAGACAGGCTTCCTCATGGAAGTCACTGAGTCAGTCACTGAGTACTGATCTCCAAAATTTTCTTCTTGCTGATAGTTTTCCCACTCTAATAAATAATTTTAAACAGATCTGTTTTAAGTGTTGCATGTTGGTGTGGGCATTTAAAAAAGCTCCTCTCTTCTATCCTCACCTTCATTTTCTCTTAAGCTAGTAAGACTGGGTAACAGCATAAACAAAAATCTAGGGACATACAGAGATTTTTTTCAGCCCTTTCTGATGCTCAAAACCCTTTTGCAGCAGCAAATCTCTTTGAATCAGGTTGACTTCACCTGAGTAGATACCATCTGTTGCAGGGGCCCTACACTTCTCCAATCTCCCCCTCTCCATGTCTTAGCAGTGACAGGTGAGTAGGGCCCCCTTTCTCCCTACCCAAGAATCTGTCAAGCAACTCTCAGCCTATATCAGCAGGCAGGAAGTGAGCTGGGGATGAGGGGGTCTCCACCCATAACCAGCTGCTGAAGTAGTAGGCAGGGGTACCCAGGTCAGCAGATACCACAAGCCAATTTACACCACATGCTACCCACTTATGGACTTAAAAAGCTAGGAAGCAATCTGGAATGTTTATCCCATTTTCCCCATGCCTTGTGTTTGGAATCCAAAAGAATACAGCATGAACAGTTGGATTTGGCAGTGTAAAGGGAATTACTAGGCAGCTAGAAAGAAGTGAAGGCAGCACACACCAAGAGAAGCTGTCTATGTCGAACATTGTGTGTCAGTGATTGGATGCCAAGACCCATCATTTTCCAAGTGGTGACTTCTACACAGGCTTCTTAACTTGCTCATTCAGATATAACCCAAAGACAACTTTGACAGATTATCAGAAACTTTTGGGGAGGGTGATGGGTGGAGTGTGGAAAGGAATGAGATAATTTTTAAAAAGGACTTCATCTTTCTAAATGTACAATAATACCATCACCTCAGTTGTTTAGCTACAGTTTCTTCTCATGCAGTGCAGAAGAGATTTTTTTGGGGGGGGGGGGAGGGTGAGGAGAAACCCCAGCAAGTCACTATAAATTTCATTAGCACTCTAAAATAAAAATGGTACTCTTTATCTATCCCATCTTAATGCATTTTTAACACTTTGTGGGAGATAGATGATTTTTTCTTATTCTACTTTTTAAAGAATGTTTTGTTGTGGCGTTTTCAGTGCTTAAAGTCTGGGTTCATAATTTTATGTATGGTACACACACATACATATATACACACATACGTATATACACACATAAACACACACACACACACACACACACACACACACACACAATTTTTTATATCCCCTTAATAGTAGGAAAACACTAAATGGTTACCTCTGTGAACGTGTTCCGATTGACTTGCAAACCAACTTTTACCACCTCAAAAGGGTTGACCACAATTGCTTCTGTTAGTCCAGATCCAAGTCCAGCAATGGCGAATGTCTAGAAAAATAAGTCGACCAATGCTTTAAAACAACTGATCATGCATGTTAGATTAAACATTCTATTCATTATGAAATGCAACTGAAATTAAGACAAGAATGAAGGAACCCCCTAAGTGCATCAAATAACATTACCAAGCAGCTTGAATTCTTGATTAGATGCTGACAATTCATGGAGAAGAAACTGCAGAAGCCACAAACCACATCCTAATGCTTTTAAAACAAAGCATTAAAGCCCCATCAACAATGACGTTTTCCTTTAACAAAAGGGGAGGCTGTTCGACTGGTTAAAGGTGGATCCTAAAACAGCATTGTGCATATAATGGAAGAGTTTAAATTGGAAAGGAAGAGCTGCATTTTAAAATGCTACTTAAATGCATTTATTGACTAGAACCACAAATGAAATGTTTATATAAAGTCACCTTCTAGGTACATAGCTGGAAGCATTCATTTGTATGGCTATGTTCTTAGAAGCACTGCTTTAGATTATTAACTAAATTATTTTGACTCATTCTCTATCTTATTTTGTTTTTATTTCCAATGCTGAGGATGGCAGCCAGGGCCTTTTATGAAGTAGGCAGAGCTCTATCATGGAGTTAATCCAGCTGCCTTTTGTTCTTAAAGGAGTGATTACTCTGTTTTTGCACCTAAGATCTGAGTAATAAACACCATGATCAGGAATGGCTGGTCGTTCTGACAGGCTCCTCTAAAATCTGGAACACTTATCACAGGATGATTGCATGTCAGCTTCTCTTTGTCTGTGGGTTGAGTGTCAGCAATAGAAACCTAACTCCAGCACTTGGGAAGCAGAGGAGTGCAGATCTCTCTGAGTTTGAGGCCAGATGGGTTCTACATAGAGAAAGTCTATCTCAAAAAAAAAAAAAAAAAATTAGCAACAGGAAGTAATTTTCTTCTATAGAGAAGTAAAGTTGTTCTAGAAAATGTACATTAGAAATGAGCATAATGATAAAATCACACACACATGCACACATGCACAGTGGAAAAACAAACCTTCACCCTCCAAAATCCCTTGCTGCTTAACTTATTCCAGGGAAGACAAAACTCTTCTCCTACTTCATTCATTCCTTTCTGTTTCTGAGACAAGGCCTTTATAGCCCAAAGTTGTCTTTGAACCCTCATAGTTACCCACCTGCCTTAGCCTTCCAAGTACTTGGATTATAAGAAAGTACCATGCCTGGCTTCAGATGGTCCTTATTTAGTGTTTCTAATAATTTCAAATAAGAGACAAGAGAGATGGGAGTAAGAGATGCTCTGTATCATTAAGGTAGAGGTGGGGTTGATTGAGGGACAGGAGGTTGCAAGACAGCCCACACCCCACCTGCCAAGTGAGAGCCACAGATCAACAGTTGTCAGGAGAGGGGAACAGGTCTTACACAGGCACCATTTGTGCTGCTGGGGATGTGTACTCATCACAGACCTCAGGATAAGCAAGTTCCCTCCTCTGTAAAACAGAATGACATAGAATTCCTCTATGAGGGCCAAAGTAAAGCATGGGCACTTCCCAAACATGGCTGCTATGGTTTCCCATGAAAAAGAGGAAGAATGGAGTCATACACAGCTTCTAGGAGAGAAGGAATACTAATGATGTTTTCCATTTACCCCACTTCATTACAATTTTAAGCATAATTTGTATAGGGTAACTGACCAAATATTTCCTCATTTATCTCAGACTTCCATCATGGAGGCCAATAAGAGGAGAGAGAGGAGAGAGAGAAAAAAAATAACCAGTCCCAAACTCTTCTGACTGGGAAAGCTAAAATCCAGATGTTAGGATTTTATTACTCACTCTATGCAACCTTCCAAGTAATTCACTTTTTTGTCCCTCTATAAAGCTCAGCTACATCTGCTGTCAGAACTAGTGTTCAGCAGTCTCTTGTCAAAAGAATTGATTAGATATAAGCAGATCATGTTACTGAGACTGTTGAAGAGATATGCCTTTGCTGTTGGATCTCCAGTCTCCCTGGCTTTCATGTGAGCACCAGAGAATATTTAACAGCTAACTGCTTCGCTGTATCAAAAAAGAAAAGGGTGAGCGAGTTCAAGAAGAGAAGAGGACTGTATATGGTTTGTGTGATTTCATTTAATAGTGGATGGAGTGGCCAGATACTTTTCCATTTCAAATCTTTAGTTAGAAACCTGCGATGTGTCACATGGTACCTGTGTGCAGCTCTGAAACAACCAGAAAGTCCTCTGAGGCCGTATTTTAGTTACTCCTACTAGGAAGTCTTTAATCTTCATTTTATCAAGATGTTTCCAGAGGAAGATACTATGGAAAAATCACACACGCACACACGTGCACACATAGACACGTTTTTGAGACAGGATCTCACCATGTAGCTCTAGTTGTTCTAGAACTTACTTTGTAGACCAGGTTGGCCTTGTACTTAAAGAGATCCATTTTCTTGCCCCTGCCTCCTGAACACTGGGATTCAAGGTGCGCTCCACCATGACTCCAGGCATGGATTTTAAAACAAAATCTTACCCACCTGAGATTCTGGGCATAAATGCTCCTTTCTAGGAGAGCATTGCCTCACCCCTACCCTGTTTAGTCAGGAGGTGGGACTGGGAGCTTTAATCTGAAATAAACTTTTACAATACACAATAGCCTGATCTATACATTTTTTTTGTCTTTATGATGGTACAAACATGAAGCACACTTCACACTTTGGATTTTGATCTCTTCCCAGGCCAACAGTGCCATAAACGCTCATGATGCTGGGAAGAAGTATACTATAGCTCTCAGCGGGTTGTCCCTTCAGGAAAGCAATCAGCCAATTCTTTACAGCATATGCTGTGAGGCTTGGTGGATGAGCCCAATGCATCTATTTTTTTTTTTTTTTTTAGCTTACAGTGCTTTTATGATTAAAGAGATGAAGGCAAGAATATTGCCTTTCCAGTAGAATTTTGAGGTTTTAGCAGCCAAATAGGGATTTTCCTAGAGGATAGGAGGTGCATTGCCATGCAGAGCAATGATGCATGGTATTGTGTTTCCTTTTGCAGATTGGGAGAAGGAGGTCCCTGCAGTTGTTCTCTCCGGGGCTCTCTGTGCACACACATTTGGTCAATATAATTTAACTTGCTTTATGGAAGGGAGCAAAGTCACCAAGCAGGGAGGAATGACACAGGGCAATGACCAGTCACCAAGTGAGCTTTGTGAAATATCTGAGCTGTGTCACTGTGGGATCACCGTTCTCCCCAGCTGAGTTGTTTACAGTCATTCCAATAAAAGGCCCTTCAGTCTGCGTCTGACCACAGAGCAATTTTATCCCAAGTGACTTTAAGTCCTATATTTACTAGAGCTTGAGCAGCAGTTGGGAAACTTAGGAAATAATCTCAGGCACATTAAGTTTTGCATAAATAGATACACACAGTGTGTATGTAAACAAACACATGCCTTGGTTTCCAAAGGTGAATGTAGTCATTATTTTATATTCTTGACCATATCTCATTGAGGCCCTTCCAGACATATCATTAGTATCATAAATTTATCACTGGGAGCTATAAAATAGCCAGATTGTGAGTTATTATGAAGATGGCTTTCAACAAGTAGCTGAACATTGAATAACTCAAATTCATATTTTAGTAGCTGGGATTTGGGAATCAAAAGGGTTTTTGTTTCTGGATTTTGCTTTATGAAATAACATACACACTTAAGTATAATAAATATTCTCACTTACCAGCCCTGGTGATAGTGACACATATCCCAGCAATTTCTTGTACTGCTCAAAGGTGGAAAACTGTAAAACCAAACCAAACCTAGAGATTTATAACAATTTCCTGCAACAAAATCTCTAATTGGCTAAAAGTCCTTCAGTAAATCATTACATTAATCAGCATTTAAAAATGATGAACCATCTAACACAGCTTTTAATCCTGTCTGGGGCTGTTGCTATAAGATGCCATTTTAACATTCCCATTTTTCAAATGTAGTTATAATAACTTACAGAAAATCTGATGGAATCCCTTATAGCAGTAAATGAACCATACAACTTCCATTTACCATGACCATTTTCAGTTCCCCCAGACATCAATAGACTTCTTTCTTATGGCAGTGATTCAAAATTATAGGTTCAGAGACCTGAAATCCTTGGTCTTATATTTTTTTTTTCCCTACGAACTACTTTCTAAAAAAATGCCCCATTTTCTAAAGCACTTGTAGAAGACATTCATTCCTCAGCCTTGAGTGTACAATGCTTGTTCTCCTGATAGCTCCATACATTGTGATTGCAAAGATGCCATGATAAACTAGGGAAGGGCCTGCCAAGTTTATCTAGCTCACCCTCTTGCATCAAAGAAAGACTGTTCCCAACCTTATTCCCTCCTTTGGGATATGAAGATGATGACAGTGAACAATAGAGGTCCATAACGATGCTGTTGCCACCTTCAGAGGATGATATTGAGTTGTACAAACACAACTTTTTTTTCAGGACAAAATGAAATAATTTTCATATATTTCTTTTTTTCATTCCCTGTATTCCGTATTCTGGGAAACAACTCTTCTTGGGCAGGATATTTTGATCCTGAGTACTGAACTGAGTTCCTATCAATGATAATAAGTTGTACTCTTAGGACCCGCAGTGTCTGAGTCTCATAAACCAAGAAATGGGATGGTAAATAATGCTATTATTTTATAGTCTAATAAAATAGAGCAAGGTGAAGAAAAAATGTACAGTCTGGGGGACTAGTAACACTCTGTCATTAGAAAGAGCTGGTTTCTTGTGTACATGACCTGTGGAATCTTTGGATAGTCCAAGAATCATTTACTAACAGAATGACATTTCTTGTTCTTTTAAAGAATGAGGTCACTGCCATGATATTTTAAATGAAGTATTGATATAGTCTTTTCTATAACAAAGATTTGTTCATTCAGTTACTGAATATTTATTAGCTTCCTCCCATTCTAGGTACTCTGAATCCAGTGAACACAGCATGTTCTAGGTACCCTAAATCCAGTAAACACAGCATGTTCTAGGCACCCTGAATCTAGTAAATACAGCATACACTCCTGCTTTTCTGACCTCACACACTTAGCACTATTGCTGTTTGATGAGGGACACATTAGAAACCCCAGAAGTCATTACAGAAGGAAAAATAAAAGTCTTAGGCATGTTTTGTTTGTTTGTTTATTTGTTTGAGACAAAGACTCATTATGTAACCCAAGCTAGCCTAAAACTCACTATTGCAGTTTATATTGCACTTGAACACATGGCAATCTTCCTTCTTCAGCTTTTGATGTATTGAGATTATAGGTTGGAGCTACCCACTTGGTTCTTTTAAAGAACATTTGCTTATTTTGTATGATTGTCATCACCATCGTTGTGTTTAGACCATAACTTTGCCAGGATTTTGAAGTGGGCAGTATACATCTGAAGCCTAGTTATGCCATGCCACTTCATCATGAAGGCATGAGAACATTGCTTCACCTGTCCGATTGTCAACTGCAAAACCCTTAGCTATTATTAGAGTTGTCATGGAATAATATAGTTTAATTAGGATTACCTGACATGAAACTTAGAAAAACTTGTTTCTATTTCTTGTCTATACCTATATTAACAGAGGAACCACTGATGCCTAAATCATGAAAGTCTACTGTAGTTCAGGAATATGCTAAGATTTGCATGTACTACTCTAGTGAGTTCACATGACAATTTTTATCAGACAAGAGGATAGATAGGGTATGGGCTGTGGCTATATCTCAGTAGTAGTGTGCTTTCCGAGCATATATAATGTCCTGAGTTCAATCTTAAGTTTTAAAAAATGGGGGCTACATCACATTACAGTCATTATGTTGATAAACCTGCCCCAAGTACCATTTTGGAAACAATTATCTTTGTTGGCATTGGGTCCTGAATGTTTTGGGAGGTGATGGGCCTCATAGAAATCTCTACTAGCTTAGTAATTTACTATGTGAGATGCATTTGTTCAATGTTTGTATTTTTCCTGTCAGGCTTTCTGTCATTTTTCAGGGATTAAAGACAAAAGTAGTATGTCAAGGAAGAAGTCTAGGGCCATAGACTCAGCCCACAACTTTATCAGTGCTCAATTCTAGTTTTTTATTTTCCTGTCTCCATTCTTCTTTTTGTTTTCAGACAATGCTCATTAAACAACCCACTGAGAAACTTAACATCCTAGATGTTCTGTTCTCGTACACAGTTGAATTGGATGAGAAGGCGAGCCATTTGACTCTTGCTTTTAAGAAATGAGAGCTAAAAATTGCTCCCCACAACACGCATCTCTATTCTAATGTCAAGACCCTTCTAAGCACATTTCTCATTGGAAAGTGGAGGCTTCTGAATGGATTGGCAGGCACAGGCACTGTCCCTAACCCCTTGCACTATCAAGCTCTGATCTGCTAGTCCTCTGTGATAGTTATTTCCTGGTAGTTCCCTCATAGGGTCAAACCGCCAAATACTTAAGGGGGTTTCAGTGAAAACCTCTCTCTCTCTCTCTCTCTCTCTCTCTCTCTCTCTCTCTCTCGTTAGCTCCAGTAACCTTACTATTCCTAGAGTCTAATCTTTACCCAAGGAGTCTACTGGGTTCTGACTTTTTTTCTCTTCTTTACTTAAGGCCTAGAAACTCTCTCAAGGCAGTAAGTACATTGGGACATCTATAAGGCTCATATTGCTTGTTTTTCAGATGTTACTGTCCTTTATTGTGTGATGTCAGTATTTTTAAACAAAACTGTTCTTTCATGTATGTTCTTTATTGTTACTGTTCATGATGCTACTGTTATAGGAGAGTTAATCTGGCTCTTACTCCACCTTCATCAGAAGTGGAAGTCTTGGCCTTCAAGATACCTTGATTAGTACATGTGGGGATTTGGAGAAATGGAAGAGATTATTTCCAAATATTAATTTTCCCCTATAAATTTCTTCCTGTTTCATTTACTCATTTGAACATCAACTATGTGTAGATACCACAGGAGGTATAGATACACAATAGTGAACAAGTACACTTCACATGCTTATAATCTCACATGAGTTTGGGCAGGGTCAAGAATCCTGGAACATATGAACATAGAAAACAATTGCATTTCTGGCATTGGGAAGCTGAATAGCAGATTCTAGAAGCCTGAATATGCTGCCTCCCATCTCTTAGTGTCTCTGCCTGAGTCTTCATTTCTGTTTGTTGAGTGCAGTTTGATTCTGTATTAACTTTTGGAAAGGGAAATATAATTTATTTACAAGTCTTATTTTAATTATGAACCTCATTTCAAAATAAAATACAGACAAGCATAAAACTGCTTGTTTTTGATTATGGTAACAATTGTAATTAAAATGTAAATTCTAATGAAGACATACATATATGGTGTATGCATGTAGGTGTGGACACATGCTTGTGCGCTTGCGTGCACACACATACACACACACACACACACACACACACACACACACACACACACACACACACATGAATTCCTGAATATCTTATTCAGAGGTAAACTTCAATGACACACAATGAGATAGTTTATGAGGTATGAAATTGTTACAATCAGATGGTTGCTTCCCTCCTAAATCCTAAGACAAATACCTATAAAATGAATGTTTTCATAAATTGTGTTGGAAAGCTAGTGTTATCCATCTGGCAAAGATACACTTAACTACAAGTTCTACTTAAAAAGCCAATGCACTTACCATATGTCTCAATAATTTTAAGGTAAAATCTACTTGCAACACGATGTCTGGTACACATGCACCATATCCAGTTGCCCCACAGCCCACAGTTCATCTGTTAACCATTGTTCTGGCACGGAACACTTATTTTATTTTATTTAGAGACTAACCCGGTTTTGTAAAGCTCAAGGTTTTTTTTCTTCTTCTTCTTCTTTTTTGTAAAGTGTTGTTCACCACTGATAAAACTTAATCCTCTTAAAGTGTAAATTGTCTCCAATATATAGCATGAAGGGAAATGGCGGCAGGAAGAAGTCTAATTACAATTTACTTTATTTATACATGGAAAACATTGAACAAATGAATATATTATTCCAGAGAGACAAAGTGACTTTCCTTTTGAACAGGAACTCTGTTCTGTTTGTTTACTTGGGCAATCTTTTATCAAGTGAAGTCGTTTCATAATTCAATTCAGTCCCTTTGTGTACTTTGGTGAACTTTTTCCAGATCCTCTACTGTGATTCAGATCCTTATAATGAAATTTGTATTGAAGCAATAATATGAAAGCACAAAAACTACAGCAACAAAGAAGACACGTTTATAGAGAAAGTATGTTTTGAAGCGTTCTTTTCTTAACTTGAGACCTGAATTTAAATTCTATTACCTTACTATTTGACATAATGCAAAAATTTGATGTTTGTATATATATGCTAGTTATTTCATCATGTTTTAAAACCTGGTTATCCCCTTGATTTACTCAGTAACAGCATGCAAGCAGCTCTTTTTTGCCTTTCAGGAATATCAGGGATAGAAATTGAGTATGTGAAAAAGCTTTATGCCATTAAAATAAATGGCATAAAGTTGGAAAGGAAGTCTTTACGTCTATGTTTATGTTATTTTTATAGAAAGACAGAACCATATTTGGTGATGTCAGCGATGGGGGTGTGTGGGAGGACCATGCCAGTCAGGGCTACTGCAATTAGGATTTTTGCCTGAAAGAACACATGGGAAACAGTGTGGAGGACTTTTATCCTTGGAGGATCTGGCACATATTCATGGTCACACACTCAGCACTAGCAAGTAGTATACAAACCTCCAGAGTCACACATTAAAGAAATAGAAGAGAGTTTTAGCAGAAGATATTAAAGGGAGAAATAAAGTTGACTTGTTAAAAACATTAAGTAAGAATAATACAAAAATAGTATATTTTATGAGACAGAAATGGTTTCAGGAGTGATTTTCTACTTCTTTTTCTTTAATACTTATTGCTCCAAAGGAACATTTCTGAATTGCTTGTGAAAATTTCCAAGTGATTTTGTGGGTTGTGTGACTTAATTACTTGAGTTTAGACACTGCTCTCTGTGTGTGTGTGTTTAATTTCCTCATTAGAAAGAAGTACCTTACAAATATGTATATTTGAGAGAATGACTATGTCTAATTATAACACAGATTGATTATACTACAATTTCTGCATTAAAACTTTTAGTGTTTTATGCTAAGTGAAATTAGTGCCTCCTTGATTACTATGGATGTCTTCATACTGTGTGTATGCTTGATGGGAAATCATACAGTACTTACCTTGACTGCTCTCTTCGGTGTTTCAGCTAAAATGGGTGGTAGAATTCCTTTGTAAAAGCCAAAAATCCTTTCGGAGAAAGAAAAATATTTACATCAGGAAATTATGCTTTTATTTATGAATAAAGAAAATGACTATCCAATCTAACACATCAATTACAAAGTTTGCAATTCTAGAGTGAAGATAAGAATGCACCGATCATTGCTATGACAATGAGAAGATGGCTATGTGATTCCGAGTCTGGAACCCCATAAGAAAACTGAGAAATGTGGCCACAACCTCTACTTCATAGACAAGCTTTAATCCTCTTAATCCAAGGGAGTTTTATTTTCTCTGTGTTGTAGGTCACTTTAAGTTATCTAAGGTCTTTTATTTCAATTTTGGTAACCAAATGAGATTAGGGTTATACCCGAATATAGTAGATTGAACCTTTTCAAGGCCAGCAAGGCAATGTAACCTTTTATTTTGGCTTTATTAGTTGGGAGTCTTTGAGATTAGGTCTCCCATCTCATCCTAAGTCAGTTATGTATATTTTTGAACTTCCTTAGTGGAAGAGGAAGAAGTGTGAGGAGGGCCAGGTTTGATGTTATATTGACTGGCAGAGGAAAAGTTGGAGTCCTTCCATGTCAACACTGAGGATACTGTGGAAATACATGTAGACAAGGATAAATTTTGCATGAGTGTCAAATGCTTTTAAGTAAAACTCATCATTTTTTTAAAATTAGGTTTAACAGTCAAAATTTTAAACTCTACTATCTAAGAAATTTAATGCACATGCCATATTTCCCTTTCCACCTTGCCATTATATAAATAGAATGTTTTGCTGTATTTTCTGAAGCAATCTATCTTCTTATTGAGTTCATGGTGCCTGCAGGGAAGGGCAAGACTCAATATGTCTCTGTCTTAAGATGTTCATTTGACACAGGACAGAAACTCCTCTGATTGATGCCAAGATTTGCTCTAGTTTCCTCATATTGAGTCTGATTTTCTTTATGTTTCTAGAACAAAAAGTTAAGAGCTTATTCCAGCTGACCTTGTGTCACCCACACAAACATGGTCACTTCTTGCTTTTACCAATCCATTGGCTAAAATGGCAAGATTAAGGAGAGAGGCAAGGTTTGTGTTGGTTCTAAATTGTTAGTACCTTCAAGGTGGGGTACTTTGTAGGATCTCACTTTAGTGTCCTTTTTTGAGTATATCACAAAATTTTGTTAAGTATGACTCCTGATACAGGTTTACTTTGCCCACTGGTTTGACTCAGTAGAGCATATGAGTATCATGATTGGATAAAGAAAACTCAATTTGAAGAATCACAAGTATTTGCAAATTGCCAAATCCCATTTCATTCCAATTTTAACTACTGATGTTTACAGTTTTCACATCCCCCCTCACTGCAACACACTTGTAAAACTTAAATACTTCTTAGTCATTTAAATTTTATTTAAGTGAATTACTTTTCACTCTAGCACAATAGTACAGTCTTGGTCTTCCCACTAGATACATGTAATTTTTGTGACTAGAAGTGTTACAGCTATATTATTTTGTTTTTTTTTCTTATGTTACATATCAATCCCAGTTCCCTCTCCCTCCCATTCTCTCATGACCCCACAGACCCCCTCCCCCGATCCTATCCCCCATCCACTCCCTAGGGAGGGTGAGGCCTTCCATGAGGGATCATCAAAATCTGTCAAGTCATTTGGGGTAGGGCCTAAGCCCTCCCTCTTCTCTCTAAGCTAAAGGAGTATCCCTACATGGGGAATGGGCTCCCAAAGTCCATTCGTACACAAGGGAGACATCCTGGTTCCACTGTTCGAGGTCTCATAGAGTGCCCAAGCCTCCTAACTGAGACCCATGTTGGGGGGGGGTCTGGGTTGGTCCTATGCTGGTTTCCCAGCTATCAGTCTGGGGTCCATGAGCTCCCCCTTGTTCAGGACAGCTGTTTCTGTGGGTTTCTCCAGCCTGGTCCTGACCCCTTTTCTTATCACTTTTCCCTCTCTGCAACTGAATTCCAGGAGTTCCTCTCAGTGTTTATCTGTGGGTGTCTGCTTTTGCTTCTGTTAGCTACTGAATGAAGGCTCTAGGATGGCATATAAGGCAGTCATCAATCTCATTATTGGAAAAGGACATTTAAGATAGCCTCTCCACTATTGCTTAGATTGTTAGTTGAAGTCATCCTTGTAGGTCTCTGGACATTTCCCTAGTGCCAGATTTCTCTTTAAACCTATAATGGCTCCCTCTATTATGGTATCTCTTTTCTTACTCTCCTTTATTTTATTCCCCTGTCTCAATCTTCCTGCTCCCTCATGTTCTCCCCTCCCCTTCTCTTTCTCCTAACTCCCTCTCTTCTTCCCCCTACTCCCAATTTGTTCGGGAGATCTTGTCCCTTTCCCCTCTTGTGGGGAACCATGTACATCTCTCTTAGGGTCCTCTTTGTTTCCTAGCTTTTCTGGCAGTGTAGATTGTAGCCTGGTGATTCTTTGGACTATGTCTAAAATCTATATATGGGTGAGTACACACCATATTCATTACAGCTATAATTAAAGTAGTTGCTGGTTTTGTTCTTTATGCAGATATTAGTAAGTAATTAGTAAATATGAGGGGAAAATTAAAAGGAAAACATGAGCAAAGTTTTAAAAATGGAGTGTTCAAAGTAGTGGTGGACTTGATGGCCTGTATGACAGAAGCAAAGAGCAGTTAGAAAGAGGAGATACTAGACAACAATCTCAGGTAGAAATTCGGTGAATACTATGGCTCTCTTGAAAGGCATGCATGTGAGGAAGATATTGGAATTCCCTTTTCCAGATGGAAGGACTGGGGCCAAGAGGTGGAGGCAACAAGGAAAGACAGAGTTTAGACAGATGGATTTTATTGAAATTCAGCACTTTTTATTTTTGAGACAGGGTTTTTCTGTATTGCTTTGGAGGCTGTCCTGGAACTTGATTTGTAGACCAGGCTGGCCTCTGCCTCCTGAGTGCTGGGATTAAGAAAAAATTTCTAATATGCAAAACTGTCCAGAGATAGAATGTCTTTTCCTGAAAAGTGGTGAGTTCTACAATGTATGGTTAAACAACCTAGATGTCCTGGATGTCCACTTGTCGTGGATACTAGAGGTGAGATGTATTTGGCAATGGGTGGGCTTGTTGATTCTCAAAGTTGGTTTTTATCAATCATCAGATTCTATAATCCCAAGGAAAGAAGAAGAGAACATGAGAAACTTTGCCTTACTTTAGACGTTTGTCTAGAAGCTTGACTTCTATGGAAGAGGATGGTCTCATGAGTAACACAAGGGCTTCATTTTAAAAGTAATGGAAGAAAATATTAAAAAGAGCTGTCAGGCAGGAGGGAACAGAGAGGCATCTGGGAGTAGCATAAGGGTTTAATCTGTAAAAAGCTGGGAGGTCCAGACCTCTCTGTTTCATTGATTTGCTCTCCTTCTCTTCTCTCAGCTCAGCTGGCTCCTTCTGTGTACAGTAATCTTGTCCCACCATACTGAGATTTATAATAATAGCACGAGCAGTTTTAACAGAAAGTTCTAAGGGATCCTATGCAGCTTTGGGTGGTAAATGCAGCTCTAGAATCACCAACTTTCCTGCACTGTTTTCACAGAATATCCATGTAACAGTAGCCATGTCCCGATGGAAGTGCCAACACTGCTTCTGTGGAGTACTGCCACACACCCAGTCTACCAAAACACTGGCAACCAATTTGTCAATGCAGTAGGACATAACTGGGAGGCAGGGTTTGGTCAGACACCTTGTTCAAAGGGACCCAAGTCACATTCTAATTCTTCAGTGCGATTCAAGCTAGACCTATTTGAATTTCTCTCCAGGATTTATGAATTGGCGCAAGTCTTGCTTGGTGTGGTTAAAGCTCTAAAATATACAACCAGAATATCAACAGTAGCCATGTTTCTGTCATTTGGAGGAAGCCAATCTGCTGTGGCAGAAAAGGAAAGAAAAAGAAAGAAGAGAAAAGGAAAGGAAAGAAAAGAGGAAAGGAAAGGCAGTCCCTATTCGGAGAGGCTGGAAGCATGAAAGGGAAGGGAATTTGATGCTGTGTATATGACTCTATCATCAGGATTTCTTTAGACTTAGTTACAGATCACTTTTTGAATATTTCCCTCTGATATCAATTCTCTGAGATACCCTGTAACATTTCCAATAAAATTTTACTTTAATACAATTGAACTGTGTTAACTACTTGAAGTTTAGAGTCCTAGATCCAGAAATTATGCCTTAAGGTCCCAATGGCCAAAATGGCATCTGCAGGTCTTCTATGCCATGTCCTCTGAGAAAGAATTAGAAAAAAAAATCTGTTAAGGTTGTCCCTTGGGAAGAGTTTCATACAAAATGTGGGAAGGAGAATGTGAGGAAGTTCCAAGCTGATGCTGTCTCTCTGGCTTGATTAGTTGGCTGAAGTTTCTGTTTGGCAAACAGGATGCATGGATTTAAAAAATTCAAGGGGGGGGAATGACTTATTTTGTGAAAGGCTTTTTTTCTTTTTAAACAAAGTCTTTAATTTAATTTTAATAGACACATAATAATTTATAAATTATAGGGCGTAGTGTGATTATTCAATACATGTATATTTTATGTAGTATCAAACCATGCTAATTTGCATATCCAGCTCCTTATGTATTAATAATTTCCCTTTCTTGGGGACCTTTGAACTCCTCTCTTCTATTTCTGATTTTTTTTGCAGTTAATTTCCTTTTTCCCCACTCTTCTTCCTTCCTCCCCTCTCCCCTTTGACCCTCCCCCCTCTAACTCCCCTGTCCCCCATGCTCACAATTTATTCAGAAGATCTTGTCTTTTTCCTCTTCCTAGGCAGATCCATGTATGTCTCTCTTAGGATCCCCTTTGTTACCTAGGTTCTCTAGGGTTATGGACTGTAGGCTGCTTGTCCTTTGATTTGTCAATATCCACTTATGAGTATACATGATAATTGTCTTTTTGGGTCTAGGTTACCTCACTCAGGATGGCTTTTTCTAATTCTGTCCATTTGCCTGGAAATTTCAAGTCATTGTTTTTTTGTTTGTGTTTTATTTTGTTTTTAACTGCAGAGTAGTA